CTTCAATGTTTTTTTTTTGCTTTTGATGAAGATTTTTGTTTGTTAAAAAAAATTCTACAAGAAAAAAACAAAAATTCTGGTTAGCAAAAATGAATTCTGTTTGCTTGTTTGTTTTGGTAAATTGATTGATTAGTTATGTTGTTGTTTGTTGTTTGTTGCAAACAAATGAACTATTTGCAGAATAATTAGATCGATATCTATCGATATACAGGATTTATATCGATTTAATTATCTTGGGAGGAGAGGGGGTGTTTGTGAGTTTAATCAGGTCAGGTTTAGAATTGCCAACTGGTAACTTATTGCTAAGTTTTGAGCACTAATACCAAAGCTTTCTCTTACAAGCCAAATTTTAGGGAAAAATTTTTAAGCGAAATCATGGCTTTTGATTCATCTTTATATAAATGAATTATAGATGTTTTGTAAAGGCAAAAGAAAAAACAAATTTCACTCAACCACACTAGACAAGATCAAGCAAAGAGATAAACTAAAAATTTATAACCATACAATTATTATCGTGTGGATGTTGATGATTCAAATTAATAATAACTACAAAAATTATAATGATTATAAGTTGATGATGATGGCCATTATTATTATCACCACTTTAAACATTTAAACAAGTGAAAAAGACTATGAAAATCATAAGAATGAAAAGAAAACTTGGACTAAGGCAATTAATAATTTCTATAAAAGAAGAAGAAGAAGAAAAAATGAAATTGAAATTGGTCAGCACGACGATGATAAATTGATCCAAATGAATATTATAACACAAGTTTTTGGCAAACTATTACCACTACAGTGGATATAGTTCAAATGATAATAATAATTAAGAAAAAAACAGAGGAAAACAAAATGGGAACAAAAAAAAGTTTCAATGGCCAAAAAAACACATCTTTTATCATACGCCGCATCCTTTTTATTCTTTTGAATAGAAAATCTGTTTTATTCAATGTTTTTTGGTCGGTTGGTTGGTTGGCTGGCCAAAATTTATTACAACAGCCATTTCTTTGCTCTTTTTGATCTTTTTGTTGCTGGAATAAAGAAAAGAACAAAAACCACACTTGATGATGATGATAATTTGGTTGTGCGCTTTTTTTTCAATAAAACCCGGAATAAAAGCCCGGCTAAAATAAACCATGTGAAAATTTCAATAGAATTTTTCCTTTTTCTCTTCTTTTTCACTTCTCACAACATCTGTTTAGTCGATCATGATGATGGTCATTATACTTTCCATTATTATCGTTATCGTTGTTGTTGTTATGGTTATTATGATCTTTGATAATGGTGGTTGGTTGGTTGGTTGATGATGAATCTTAACCAATCATTCATTCATTCGTTCATTCATTCCATTTTATTTCACTTTCAAATGTCATACGAATGAAAAAAGAAAAACTTGTCATTAATAAATAACTGAGGGTTAAAAAAAATATTATTATCATTCGTTAACCAAACCGTACAACAGTCAGACCAGCATGTTATGCACGAATGATTGACTGACTGATTAACACAGAATTATCATCATCATCATCATCATCAGGATTCTGAATTCTATAAATTTTTAATAATTTTTTTTTTTTTTTTGAAGAATTTTTTTTCCATTTTCAACCGACTATAACGACAGCAGCAGCCAACAAAAAAAAAAGGATAATTATAC